ATGTTGAAGACCTGTTACTGAAGGGGTACATTTAAAGAAAATGTTTGGAGATCACTGGGTTTTAGGATAAAGCTCAAACCCTTTATTTTGGCACTCAAGGCTGTTTATAATTTAGCCTCAAGATTTAATGGCTTCCTCCACCGCCTCTCCCTCCATTTACCACCTACCATACTCTAACTACAGTGAGCTGCTATCTATCTTCCAATTATACCAAAGCATCAAGTTATAGTTCATTTTGTACATAGATGTTCAATCAAATCCGTTAAACCCGGCCAGTTTCAGGGACTCCTCACAAATGACTTGCCTTGGTGTTTGAGGGGTCAGCCTAGTGATCCATTCCTTCCTTACCTTATGCAAACTTAATTTGTGTTTATTATTTTCAGGAGACACTTAACCCATTTCTGGGTCTTCAGTAGGCACTCCTTTACCTGTCTTGGCCCCTCAGCCCAACTGTCTTAGCTTATTTAGTGTACACTGCTTTGTTCCCTACCTTCTAATCTTTCTTCTGTGCCCAAATATGTTGTGGGCAGAAGTGGGCTTTTTGCAATCTAAAGCATATGTAAGTTTACTGTGTTGTGAGTGCTCTTTTGCTTTAAATACATGCTCTTATTTTCTTTTCCCCACAAGCCCAGATGAGTACTTTTACCACCATTTTATACTGAGGTGGAGTAATGTGCCCAAGGCCACAAGAAGCAGAACTCAAAATTTGAACTCAGGTTTAACTCCAGAATGTGGGCTTCTTTCAGTGACTGTGTGCCGGACGCCAGAGAGGATGTGAAGTATATGGGAGACCCCAATCTTACCTCCAGGGACTCTCAGAGCCAGGTCTGTACCTCAGGAAAAAAGGAGCCGATGCCCTGTAGAGAATAAGTCTCAACAGATACTTATCATGGATAAAGTTCTCCTCCCGTCAGAATTATTCTTCCTGTTAGTGATCGCCCACGGTGCCTGGGGTTTGAGCTACAATTTGGCACTTAATCGTCTACTGTCTTGTCGTGTTGTTTCTAGTGTATCTTTGCCTAATGATCATTTTTCTTCTCTCATCAGGCCAGCCTGGTCCCACCGGCTGATGTGGGTATGAGCCTTCACAGCAGGATTTTCCTAATTCACTCGTGAAGAGAACCAGTGGCTCTCAAATCCAAGAACCTTTTGGAGTTTTAAAAATGCAGCCTAAATTTGGGGCAGGAACCAAGAATCCACATGTTTAACACCGAGGTCATTCTTAGGACTTAGCCAATGGCTCAGTCTACATTCCTGCCTTCGAGACTGCCCCATTTAGGCAGGATTATTTCCTGGTACAATGATTTCTCTAAATATTGCACACAGCTGAAGAATTAGGAGCTAGGCCTCTTTTGTTTCTGGATACGCCACTTGGCAGGTGTAATAACATCCTCTGACAGGCTGCTTGCCACAGGTGCCTGCTTGCCACGTGTGCCCCACTGGTACCATCCCCCATTCATTCAGTCCTGCGGCCCAACCAAGACCCTTCTATCCCTACCGCCAACCACCCTCTAGCAAATGCCCTTCCAAACCCTCAAACCCACCCTTGCCCCCTTCCCTTCCCTTCCCCCCACCTCAGCCTCTCCCTTCCTCCCCAGCCCCCGCCCCCTCCGGGTCCCCTGGGGCTCCTCCCACCTCAGAACATTTTTTTGTTCCTGGCTAAGAGTTTTCCAGTGAGATTGGGGGTGGGGATGGGGGCTGGTTAGGCCAGGACACAGGGCCATTCAGAGGTCCTAACGAGTGGGCATGCTTCTCCATCCGAGAAAGCACGTTTTCTATCAGAGAAATGGGCAGAGGCCGCTCTGGAACTTGGGTGGAGGGAGGGATGTTACTCTCCGAGCGAGACCCTATGTCTCTGCAAATACCCCAAAGCAGGCCCAACCTGCAGTGTTCCTTTGTTGGGAGGGAGAGGAAATGGAATCTTACCAATGAGATGCAAAGGGCTTGAGAGAATACCGAGGACGGGCCCACGTTTCTCCCTGCAAATGCCTAACACTAAAAGGGAAGGGGAAAAAAAATGCACCAACAAAGAGTTTAAGATCGCAGTTCCCAGCTTTTTCAAATAGGAAGCATTTTTTTTAACCAATCCACTTTTTAATTTTTAAATTCTTGACATTACAGAACTAAACTGAAATTTCTTAACATTCCACTCTTACATTTCTTTTTGACAAACAGAAATAAAATTCATGAGCCAAAAACCCAAAAACAAAACTAAAAACAGGGAAAAGCTTATAAAACTAAATATGGATCCCAGCATTAACAGCTGAACAGAGAATGTGATTTTTAAATTCTTAGCGGATGATAAAGTTGTGTAGAAACTGAACACTTACAAATTATTTAAAACCTGGAATCACTGACCAGAAATTACACATTTGGATCATGGGAAAAACAGCAGAAAGAGGTTATGAGTGGACCTACACCGTTCTAGCTGCACCCCATGCCCTTCTCAGAGGAAAGCCTGGCATTGATTAGATACTGGGCCAGACTAATACTGGCAGCAGAACCAGTGATAGTAACCTGCCTACCAGAGGAGCCTTCCACTGGGTTGGCAATTTTGATCTGGGCCCCGGACATCTGGCGGATCTCATTAATGTTGGCGCCCTGGCGCCCGATGATGCAGCCAATTAAGTTATTTGGAATGGTGAGTTCATGGGTGGTTTGAGTAGATGCATCCAAACTTGCCCAATAGCCTTTCACCTCCGGAGAGCTGGAGTCAATCCCGGCGAATCCGGTCCCGCCGTGCATCATGGCAAAGTGGGACTGTTGTCTTGCCACCTGGTTCAGCTTGGCCAGATCGAGCGGAGAAATGGTGTGTTGTCCTTGAATCGAGTAGGCGTCTAGCGGTGGTCCCTCCAGGTCATGGGTGGCGTGCGGGTAGCCCGCAGCGTCGCTGCACCGATCTTGGCCGCCCGCGCAGATGACCGGAGAGCTGGCCGGCATGGGCTGGTACGGAATGGTCATGACTCTCCCTTGCGGAGACTGGGAGAGCGTCTCCAGCATGACCAGGCAGATCTGCTTGACACACTCGGTGACGGACTGCGGCACGCCAGCGATGGTGATGGCCCGCTCGGTGGAGTTGGGCAGCATATCCCCCGCCACCTGGACCTGGGCCCCGGTGCTCTCGCGGATCTCTTTGATCTTACAGCCGCCTTTCCCAATCAGGGAGCCGCACTGGGTGGCCGGCACCACCAGCCGCAGGGTGACCGGGGGCCGGCTGGCCGCCGTGCTGTTGGTCATGGAGCTGTTGATATCTTCCTCCAGCTTATCGATGATCATAGCGAAGGCCTTAAAGATGGCATTGGTGGGGCCGGTCAGAGTGATGATTCTCTCCGGGCAATTCCCCTCCGAGATGTTGATCCGCGCGCCACTCTCCTCGCGGATCCTCTTAACCGACTCCCCTTTCTTCCCGATGATGCTGCCCACTTCCTTTCCGTGCATAAGCAGCCGAATGGTGAGAGTCACATTTAGTCCACTTTCAGTCACACCGGCATCCATGGCGAGCGGCGGGCGGCGTTCGGGGGAGTTGGGCTCGTTACGTGGTCAAGTCTTTGGTGGCTGGCGGGGGGGGAGGGGAGGTGTAGGCCCAAAACTGCCGGCGCGAGGCGAGCGAGGGCCGCGGGAGCGAGCGGGCGCGGGCGGGAGGCCGCGGCGTCGTCGCAGGGGCGAGCGGCGGCGGCGGAGGGGGCGAGCGGGGCCGGGAGCGGCGGGCAGGCGGGTGGGCGAGGGCGCGGCGGTGGCGACTCCGGCGGCAGCCTCGGCGGTCTGGGCGGGGCGGGAAGCCCGCTTTCAACCTCGCGTACCCTCTGACCCCGGAAGTGCTTGCTGCGCAGGACCCCTTGAAAAAAAAATGAGGACCCGTCTTTTTTAGGTCACAAGATTGCGCCAACCTGCAGATGGTAGTTTTACAAAAATCCTTTAACAACCTAGCCTTGACTATAAAGCTCCGATGGGCAGACACTCTGAGTCCGGCAAATTTTTAAAACAAAATATTTATTTTGTTAACCCTGGTGGCACTGGCAGAGGTTTGGAAATGTTAGTGTTGTGGATGGGGGCGACACATTATTTTGCCTCCCTGCAAAACGCGTTTGGGCCAGGAGGAACGAGGGCAGGCCTGGCGGTGACTGCAGGCGGCAGCGGGGACGCCGCGGATTTAAAACGGGCGCGTGAGGCGTCCACGGCGCGTGCGCGAGGGTGTGGGGGGGACGGGAGGGGCCGCGCGGCCTTCCGGGGGGGAGGGGAGGCGAGGCGAGGCTTGGGGCGGGCGCGCGGGCGGGCACGTGGGACTCCTTCGTCCCCGGCGTCTGGGCGCCGGGCGCCAGCCGCCGCCCCGGCCTAGGCCGCGGCCGTGTGGCCGGTGAGGAGAAAGACCGAAACCCACCCCCGGCCGCCGCCCAAGTTGCGGCGCTGTTCGTGGTTTCTGGGAAGTGCTAGAAACGTGGCCCTGAAAGCATGGCGTCCATTTACATAATGCTTTGTTTGCATTTTGCAAGTTCTTTCGGTTAAGCCCGCAGAAACCCCACCTCCCGCCCCGGTGGCGCTTTAGTTGTGGCAGCCCCCTCAGCTGCTTAAGACAATGGTGTGCCTCTTGGGGGTGCCGGGCAGTGCTTTGGGGGCGCTCCTGCAGCTTTCCCCGCACGGCTTAGGCTCCCGCTGCGGCCAGGCCGCCCTTGCCCCGCTTGGTGCAGCCGCCGCGCCCCGCGCTTTCCGGGGGCGGCCCCCGCCGGGCCGCCATCTTGGGCGGCTTTTCCTGCCGCAGGCGCTGCAGCACGTTCCTTCCGCCGAAGCAAGGCGGCTGTGGCTGCGGGGCGCCCGTCATGGTTTCGGCCCCTGGCCCTTCCCTTCAGCCAAGCCAGGCGGGGAAGGCTGTGGGCGCAAAGTGCCTCAGGGCCCCTCAGGGAAGGCGGCTAACGGCTGACTCTCTGCCCCCCCCCCCCGCCCTCCATCCCCACGGGGGTGGCCGCCATTTTTCCTCCACACAAAATGGCCGCACGTGGTCCGGGTTCGTCGCCAACGAGAAATTGGGGTTCGCGCGAAAGCTCTCGAACGCGCCCCCGTCGCCCTCCTCCCACCCTCCGCGCCTGTGGTGGCGCCTGCCCCGCTCCGCGAGCCCTCTGACCCCCCCGACGCCCCCACAGGGTGGTCCACACCGGGGCGGGCGGGGCGGGGGGCGACCTTTAATGCCGTTCTCTCGTTATTTGGAACCGGGGATTGGAACTAAAATGTAGGCATGAAACCGAGGCTGCCGCTCAGTTTAAATTCAGTCCCAGTGGGGGCTGGGCCCCTGGGTCACGGGAGCCCCAGTAACAAAGCATTGGGGGTCGCTGCCTTAGGGAGCGGGGCGGGCACGGCTGCCCCCCGGCCCCCGCCGCCGAGGGGAGGCCGGGGAATGGCCCCGTCGGTCCGTGAAACACCGTGTCCCCGGGGCGGCCGGGCGGCCGGTGGTTTTTCCCGCCGGCGAGTCGGACAGTGACCCTCAGTTGCCCCTGGGGGTCACGCTTAGTACAAGGACAGGCATTTACTGTGCCTGGGCCAGAGCTCGGGCTGTGCGAGGCATTGTACTGCCAACATCTCATTTCCCCCGATCCTCCGAGGTAGGTGGTGTGACCGTTCTCTCTCTCTTTTTTAGCAGATGAATTCCCTTAGGCACAGGGAGATGACGTGGTTAACTCAAGGTCACAGTGTCAAGGATGGAACCCAGACCTCCTTATTTCTTATGGGTGAGCACATCGCCACGTGTTTCTGTCCGTTAGAATTTCAGAATTTAAGCTCTAGTTGAACGTCCAGGTGGGCTAGTCGTTTAAAGGGATCCCCGCAGGTGACCTTTTGGTGGGGAGTTGCCCCCCCCCCCCGTTTGCACGCGTTTGGGGGTTCCCGTGGTTCCGGGTTGTTTCGGACGAGGTGCCGGGGGAGGCCGCGAGGGGGTGACTCAGCCGCCCGGAGGGAGGCTCGGCAGCCGTGAGTCCGCCCGGCTCCAGGGAGCAGCAGCTTCTCTCTGACTCACTCGCTTCCTTCGGCTCCAGTGGCTGTGACTCCGCCTTCCCCACCCCAACCAGGTACAGACGGACAGTTGTACACCGGCGCCAGGCCCCCGTTCCTCCGCAAATACTGACAGAGCGTGACAGTTAGACACAGTGCCGTCGGCGGCGCCCCCCCCCCCCCCCGTGCGGGGTCGTGAATAGCCTGTGGCCGGCCACACCTGTGCCCCAGCAGGCCCCGCGCGTGGGCGCCCGGCACGGAGCAGCGCCTCTGCTTGCTCCCACGCAGCCGTCGCCAGCCTCTCGGAGTGCGGGGCGCTCCCCTGGCCCCGGCCCAGCCCGGCAGACAGACCCCTGCCCGGCAGCAGCAGGGGAGTAGCGCCCAGGCTCGCTCCGTGCCCGTGGAAGCTCCATGGGGTGTGAATTCAGAGCTCCCCACTTTCAGAAGCCCACCGCTGTGAGGAATACGTTTTACATAATCACAGACACCTATGTACCGTGTATATAACAGAAACAGCATTTTTGTAAAATGGTACGTATCCTTTACGACATGCAATATATCCGGGTGATTTTTTAAAAATATGTTTTATTGATGTTTAGAGAGAGAGGAAGGGAGAGAGACATCATCTATCGGCTGCCTCCTGCATGCCCCGTACTGGGATCAAGCCCCTCAACCCGGGCATGTGTCCTGACTGGAGACTGAACCACTGAGCCACACTGCCTGGTGATTTTTGTTTGTTTTGTTAACCCTCACCAGAGGATATTTTTTCCATTGCATTCTCAGAGGGAGGGAGAGAGGGAGAGGGAAAGGGAGAGAGGGACATCCGTGTGAGAGACACATTGACTCCAATCAGGGCAGGGAGCCAACCCCAACCCCTCGGTGCTCAGGCTGATGCTCCAACCACTGAGCACACTGGTCAGGGCTACTCTGGTGATTTTTATTTTTGCCTTTATGTTAAAAATAGGGGTACATGCTAGTAGCCCTCACCTGTTTGGCTCAGTGGATAGAGTGTCAGCTTTCGGACTGAAGGGTCCCGGGTTCAGTTCCAATCAAGGGCATGTACCTCGGTTGCAGGCTCCTCCCCAGCCGGGGCCCTGGTCAGGGCAAGTGCAGGAGACAACCAATCAACGTGTTTCTCTCACATCAGTATTTCTTTCTGTCTTTCCCTCTCCCATTCTCTCTAAAAAATCAGTGGAAAAATATCCTCCGGTGAGGATTAAAAATAAAAAAATAGGGGCACATCAAAACTAAAGTGATGGAAAACCCGTTATTAGGTGTTACGGGTATGATTAATGTACATATATAATTCCCACAAAACCTCCTGAGTTCAATGTAATAAATAGCTTGTGGGCCCAGCAACAAATGGGTGCCTAAGCAGGGTTCCATCCTGAGGTGGGAGTGATGTTACTTCCTTTTCACAGAGGTACAGAGAGCTGAAGGATTTCGTCCAAGAAGGTCACATAGCTGGTAAAGCAAGGATTTCAAGCTAGGCAATCTGGGCCCAGAGCTGAATACGTAACTCCCATACTGTTCTCTATAGAGGGCCTTATCTTGTAGGGCAGTGATGGCGAACCTTTTGAGCTTGGCGTGTCAGCATTCTGAAAAACCCGAACTTAACTCTGGTGCTGTGTCACATACAGAAATTTTTTGATATTTGCAACCATAGTAAAAGAAAGATTTATATTTTTGACATTTATTTTATATAATTAAATGCCATTTAACAAAGAAAAATCAACCAAAAAAATGAGTTCACGTGTCACCTCTGACACGCGTGTCATAGGTTCGCCATCACTGTTGTAGGGAGATAGTTGATTAGGGAATTAAAAATATTAGTAAATGTTAAAAGCTTAAGAGACAACAAAAGGACTAAAATACATATAATCAAGAATTAATCATGATTCATCTGCCACCTGTTTATTTTCCCTAAGGAAAATTTTATCCATTGGGTCTTTATTCACAAGACTGCCTATCTTAAGTCTTTTATGCTTGATATATTCTCTTAATTTCTTACCTTCAGGACTCTATCTACCTCCTCACTTTACTAGTTCTTAATCTGCCCACTTCCTCCAGAGTCTTATACCTCCTCCCAAGAATAGCCTACATTTGGCTGTTTATTAAGTTGTAATATGTTTTGGTATTGATAATGTGTTGTACGGGCCACAGGTACCTCTGGTGATCCTGAGATCTGGCAGAAAGGGCGCTGGACTATTCACTTCTTCAGACACCACCCATTTTACAGATGAAGCCACTGAGATAATGGAGCAACTGACTAGTCACCACCCCACCTCTGGAGCCTCACACAGGACTCTTCTCCTCCCACTTGAATGACGCAGGTTGGTTAAGGGGTTTAATGAGGCTGAGCAGGTGAATCAGGCTTAGACTCTGGAAATTGAACCATAGGATTTATACTCCATTCAGAGGAAGGATTTTTGCTTCCTCTTACCTCACATTGACTTCTTATTACACAAAACCTTTCCAAGTGATATCACATTATTTATTTAATCATCACAGGCAATGTTTCCAGAAAGATATTATTCTACCTATTTTATGGAAGATCCATTTCTGGATCAGAGTAGTGAAGTGACCTGCTCAAGTTTACACAGCTTAGTAGGACCTGAGCTGAGCCTCTTGACTCCTAGTTGTGGATTGTTCCTTTCTTTCGCTTCTCATGTTTGTGACACTGACTTTGATACATGGAATACCTTTATTTTAAACTCGGAAAGCTTTCCATTCAGTCTTTATTTTTCTGTTTCAGAATATCCAATCCACTTATGTTAGGTTTCTGACTCCTTTGGTTTAAGAGAATCTCTTTCTTCTCATTTTCTAATGTTTACATTTATGGGTTTGGGGAGTGGTGGGCATGATTCCTACTCAGTAAGACTCTTGGATTCCCAGGAGGCAGGGATTACATTTTTTTCCTGAACTACCTGGCCCAGTAAGTATACTGCAGCTTTTTCAGTTTGCCCTACCAACACACCAGCATTTTTTTTTAAAAAAAACATGGTTACATGGTTTCTTTTTCTCTTCCCTTTTCACACTTAGCTTTCCATTTCTCTTTTATTTAAAATTATCTTAAGTTAAAAGTCCTTTTCTCTCATTACTTTCAGAGTGCAGCCTAGAAACGTCATTCCCACTTTGTGTGGATAGTAACAATTTGACTTTATTTGCTGGTGACCCTGCATTGCTGTTATAGGGTCGGTACTTGTTTCCTCAGAAACAGAAGAGATATGTTGGTGTGCCTTACAGAAGTGATGAGGAGATACAGCAACATCCTGGCCTAAGTTCTCCCAGTTGGGCAAAGCAATGCCCATGGATTCTCCAGGGTCACTCTGAAATAAGGCATGGAGAAGGGAGTACAGAAAAAAGTTAAAGGGAAAATGAGAACAGATAATTAGCAAATGCTAAGTATCAAAAGTGAGAAAGGAAAGAAAGGTAAGAAAAGGAAAGAGAAAATAATAGGGCAGAAAAGAGGAGAATACAGGATTGGTGGAAGGGAGGTGACAAGAACAGTCCAGAGATGCATTAGCCCCTCCTGTATTGTAGGAAGCATAGGCTGCTGTCTTGAACCAGGAAGAGCAGCTGGTATAATAACTCCTTCTTGAGCTGATCTTGAGCAGGAAATCTCTTTTAATTTTTTATTTCCAGTATCAGGTGGGGAAAATATTTTTGTTTTTGTTATCAGCTGAGGATGTGATTAGGTGCCAGTAATTTTAATATCAGCATCAGTTCAATTAGTTTATTAAGGAAAAATGTGCTACAAAATCAACATAAGGTATTCCAGGTCAAATTTCATTTTATTCATTCAATAAACACTGATCGTTTGATATATCCCAAACACTAAGGATATTCAAATGAATGAGATCCTGTCCTTGCCTTCAAGATGCTTATGGTCTGGAGAAGGAGATAGACTAGTCAGTAGATTTACAGTTCAGAGTGTTAAAGTGTTAGGATATGAGTAAGCAGAGGGTGCTCTGGGCTCAGCGAGGAACCTTGATGCAGTTTTGGAGGGGACCCAGGGATCTAGGCTGCCTAGAGAAGTTAACATTCAGGCTGAGTCCCAAGTTGGCAAATTGCAAGGTGGAGGGCAGGGAAGGGTATTACAGGCAGAGTTCCTTCAGAAGTTATAGCCATTTTAGGAAGGCATGAACGATGTTTGCATGATCCAGTTATTGGTGATGATTGTTCTGCTTCAGAAATGTAGATTATTGAGACTTTACTTGGTAGAGCACAGAGTTAAAGTCCTTATTTTGTAGCAGTAATTCTTTTTTAAGATTAAGACACCAGAAATTTTATTTCCTGTCTTAGTGTAAGGACAAAATGTAAATCACAGCTTTTGAGTTAGCAAATGATTGTTAACCTTCTGTGCAGTAAAAGAAAGAAGGTGAGAGCACAACATATCTCTTTCTCATCCAAGTTTTGAATTTGATTGTGTTCTGCTTTGTTTTTAAAGGAGTATGTGGAAATTTAGGGTCTTGGCTAGGATGTTTGAATTAAGGAACAGGGAAATGAGTTGAAGAGTAATTGCTACTTTGTGGCAGAACAAAATAAATACTTTTAAATAGCTGAATTATCTGATTTCGCCTCCTGAGCACAAGCAAGATATAGTTGGGGACCTTGTTTCAGAGAGACAATTACTTGAACCAGACAAAGCATTTGTTCAACATTAGTCACTGTAAAATATGTTGTGTCCAGATTAAGAGCATTGATTTTTTTTTTTATGAGACACGGATATATCTGCATTAAACAGAAACCTTATGTGTATTCATAGGCTAATACTGGGATTTTCCTTGGATTAAAAGATAAGTGATATTGTATAGTAGGGAAGAACATGCTTAGAAAATAACACATAGATCATTCAGTAATCATTTCTCAGTTGTCTTCTTTCTTGACCTCTGAGTAGCATTTGGCACTCCCTCCTTGCACACTAGTTTCACTTGGCTTCCAGGATGCCACTCAGTGGTTCTCCTCCTACCTTACCATCCATCCTTCCTCCTTTTCAACCTCCCTCTCCACCCCCCACCCTTCACTCTTCAGCCTCCAATGATGGAGTACTCAGATCAGTCCTTGGATTCCTTCTCTGTCTATGCTCATTTCCTAGGTGCTTTATTTCAAGACTAAATACTATTTATACCCTGACAATTCTCAAGTGTGTGTTACTAGCTTGAATGTCTTCCCCTGAACTCAAGGCTTTTATATCCTAGTGCCTACTGGATACCTCCACTTGGGTATCTGATAGCTTCTTGAACTTAACGTATTTAAAAAATGGACTCTGGAACTTCTCCTCTAAAACCTCTATCTCTGGCAATTCATCCCCATCTCAGTTTCAGTTGTATTGAATGTATGGTGACCTCTCCCTTGACTTGTTTTTTTCTCTTACCCTCTTCATCCAGTACACCAGCAGGTCCTGTCAGCTGTACTTTGAAAATAATACATTCAGCAATTGAACACTTCACACTACTTCCTCTGCTACTATTAGAATAGTTTCTAAACCAGCCGTGGGCAAACTACGGCCCGCAGGCTGGATAGGCCCGTTTGAAATGAATAAAACTAAAAAAAAGAGAAAAGACCGTACCCTTTTATGTAATGATGTTTACTTTGAATTTATGTTAGTTCACACAAACACTCCATCCATGCTTTTGTTCCGGCCCTCCGGTCCAGTTTAAGAACCCATTGTGACCCTCGAGTCAAAAAGTTTGCCCACCCCTGTTCTAAATGTTCTTCCTCCTTTGCTCTTTTTAAAAATACATTCTAATTGATTTTTTTAGAGAGAGAAGAAAGGAGAAGAAGAGAGAGAGAGAGAAACATCGATGAGAGAGAGACATCATCGATCGACTGCCTCCTGCTTGCCCTCCACAGGAGATTGAGCCCACATAGAGGGATAAGGAGAGGAAATCTGTATGAATAAGATGGTGTTCCTGCCCTCACGTTTCTTTCTTTTGAAAAAAATGTTTTATTGATTTTTTAGAGAGAGAGAGAGAAAGAGGGAGAGAGAGAGAGAAGCATCCATGTATGAGAGAAACAATCGACTGCCTCTGGCCCCTCCTTCCCCCTATTGGGGATCAAGTCCGAAACTTGGGCATGTGCCCTAACTGGGAATCTAACCAGTGACCTTTTGGTGCATGGACAGTCCTCAACCATCAGACACACTGGCCAGGGCTGCCCTCAAGTTTCTTAGTCTAAAAAATGATTATTTTGACCAAAACAGTACTGTGTTTTCTAGCAGGATAAAGTGATACATCATTTTGGAATTGGGGAGGTAAGGACTGGTGTGCAAGAGTATGAATATTTTCAGAGACAAAGTCCTGCTTTGTCAGACTTAATAATTTGCTGAAACTGAAAGAAAAAAATGTGCTAAATTTTCATTGGAAATATTTGGTCTGTATTTACCTTTCATAAAATGTACAGCAGAAAAAGTAAATTTACATATACAAGTTAAGCTAAAAGTTTTCGAAAAATAAGGTTAGGTATAAGTTTTAAATCAATTGAAATAAAATACAATAAATGCAAAAAAAAATAATTGCACTGCCTCTTGGAGGGCAGTATTGATGATAGCTACCTGGCATTACTGGCTTTTGGGTTACAGTTTGTGTTTGGTTTTGCCTTGTTAATAGCAAGAGTTTCTTAAAAATCCCATTATCAGTCTTAGTTATTTTTAGGTACCTCCTAAGAACCTTCTGTCATAGCCACCTCCTCTCAGGATAAGTGCAAGAGTTTACTATCTTTACCTCTTCCATATCTGAAAATTCTTTTCCGGAATTCCTGACTATCCACTTATTAGCCGTTTGGTCTTGAGCCTCAGTTTCTGCTCTTGTCAAAAAGAGATAATGTGAGGATTAAATGACTAAATAACATGGGTTTGAGACTAGGAGAATGAAAAGAGAAGATTGTAAAGGACAGATAATTTTTTTTAAGCAAGTACTGTATATTTCTGCTTTATTTTGAAAATAATTTCAATAAGCATGTTTCTTTTCTAATGAGAACAATGAAGCTTTTCTTTTTGAAAACAAAGACTAATATATTGCTTTATAGAATAGTTGTTTATGGAAAATATTTCTCTCTACTCAGATGCTTATCCCTATATTGCATGAGAGAAATGAAATGCTAGAACCCCACTCCTTGCTGCCCAGTGAGTTGGTATCTAGAAAGGAAAACAACCATTTTCCTTTATTTATTTATTTTTAAAAATATATTTCATTGATATTTTACAGAGAGGAAGGCAGAGGAATAGAGAGCCAGAAACATCGATGAGAGAGAAACATCGATCAGCTGCCCCTTGCACACCCCCCACTGGGGATGTGCCTGCAACCAAGGTACATGCCCTTGACCGGAATGG